TCCCAAGTAGCTGGGACCACAGGCGCCTGCCACAACACCTGGCTATTTTTTGGTTGCAGCCGTCATTGTTTTTTTGGCAGGCCCGGACTGGATTCAAACCTGCCACCTTAGGTGTATGTGGCTGGCCCCTTAGCCACTTGAGCCACAGGCGCCGAGCCCAGCCCCCTCTTTTTGGATAGGCTTTAGGAAGGGTAAGGCAGTGAGAGAAAAATGCTCCTTTGACTATAACAAGGAGAAGAATAGATTTGCATTTGATTGACACACTCCTGGGAAGTGACATTATTAAAGTCTGGAGCTTTATTAATTTTTATTTTTATTTATTTATTTTTTTGAGACAGAATCTCCACCTATCACCCTGAGTAGCGTACCATAGCATCACAGCAACCTCAGACTCTTGGGTTTAAGCGATTCTCTCACCTCATTCTCCCAAGCAGCTGGGATTACATGTGCCTGCCAAAATGCCTGGCTATTTTTTGGTTGTAGTTGTCATTGTTTGGCAGGCCTGGGCTGGATTCAAACCCGCCAGCTCCAGTGTATGTGGCTGGCACTCTGGCTGCTGAGCTACAGGTGCTGAGCCAAGTTTGGAGCTTTAAACTAACACCAGCTGCTGTGATGACTGAGATAATCCATCCCATGAGGATTACATTCTGATCTTTGCACCCTCCTAAATCCCCAACAATATAAAAACAAAAATTACATCCTGAGACACATTTCAATGCTTTTGACTCTTCCAAGGAGGGAGCAAAGGTGATTATAATGCAGCCAAGTCATATTTGTTTGTTTATTTATTTTATTTTTATTAAATCACAGCAGTGTACATTAATACTTATCATGGGGTACAGTGTACTATTTCCATATACAATTTGAAATATTTTCATCAAACTGGTTAACATAGCCTTCGTGTCTTTTTTTAGTTATTGTGTTAAGACATTTATGTTCTACATTTAGTAAGTTTCACATGTACCCTTATGGGATGAACCCTAGGCGTGATCCCACCAACCACCCTCCCTCCACCCACCCTCCCCTCCCCTGCTCTCCCTCTCCCCTTTCCCCATATTCCTGGGCTAACAGTTTCATAGTAGGGCTGAGTACATTGGATACTTTTTCTTCCATTCTTGAGATACTCTGCTAAGAAGAATATTTTCCAGCTCCATCCATGTAAACATGAAGGTGGTGTTTATTTATTTTTATTAAGCCATTTAACGTCATTTGGCTGCACCCATCCTGAGTGTCTGTAGTTCACGTGGACAGAACAGTGAACACAGGTGATTCCTTCCTCATCTGCTGTGCAGAAGCAAGCGGAGCCCATGCTAGGCTTCTTCCTTTCCTCCTTCGTAGCGTCCACTGTAATGGGCTTGCTTGGTGCTTCTGTATTTATGGAACAGAGTGGACCAAAGTAGACTGTACTTAATTTTTTAACTTAACAGCCATCTATGCTCCATGTTTCATTAGGCCTCTCAATGGCAGCGACGTTCTACTTTCAGGTATTTACGGGAAGGGACAGGGAAGCAGGAGCAGCGTTAAGTTCAAGTTCGGCTATTTTGAAAACTTCCAGCAGGCTCTGTGACTCGGGAGCTGTCCTTAGTTGCCTAGCCCTGAGGTGAAATCCTTATTTTGATTTCTTGCAGCAGTGGGAAATTCTGTTCATGCAGGACCCACCTGGATGTCAGAGAGTGTCTGTCAGCAGAGGAGACCCAGACCCCGTCCTTGGCTTTGGGGCACAGTTCCCTATCCCTAATTGGTTTCTAAAGTGTCACCTCATCTCGTTCTTCAGATTGTCAGCAGGCTGGATTGCTGTGGGGTTTCTCTTTATCTGTGTGTGTAGAGAAGTTGCACTTGACTAGGCAGCGTGAAGTGAGAGGCAAGCCTAAGGCTGCCTGGGACGCCAGGAGGCCACCGTTTCAGAAGATTCTGCACTCTTCAGATGGATATTTCCTGCCTCCCTCAGAGTCGGAGGGTTTTCTTGGGGTCTGCTGGACACGTCTTTCACTCTGTGTACTGAGTGATGCGGTTCTAGCCTCAGGGCCTCTCTGATCTCATTTCATTTTGACCTGCCTCCCCTGCAGACTGTGTGGAGAGTTTGGCCCCTCGGAAGGAGGTCACACTTCACTGCATTTTCAGTATCCTCTGCCCTAATGACTGAAGGTTGAACATTTGCTCCAAGGTTGAACGTTTTCTGGGGGCACAGAACCCCTCACAGCCCTTCATTCTTTTTCACCCACTGCTCCCCTTTTGTCTCCTCCCAGGGGCTCCCTCAGCCCAGGTCTTAGCCATTGTTTTCTCAGCCCTGAGCCAGATCAGCCGGATCCCCAACTCTCTCAGAGTGACTGGGGGTTACAGGTCCCCATATTGGCACTGGAGCCAAGGAAAGTTGCTCCACAGCCGGAGCGCACTCGCTCTGCTGCCCCGGCTGCACCTCGAGCAACACGACCCCTCGTCTGTGTGTGCCCTGAAGGTGCTGAACGGCCAGGCGTCTGCCCGGGGAACTGTCAGAACCACAACAGACACTGCTGGGCTTTCCTGACGTTCCTTCAGAAGGCTGGCTGGTAATGAAAACGATGAGTTACATGGATGTAAACAGTTTATTAGTTACACATATAGCAAAGCGAGATCAGCATGGGCTTAGTTTATTTTCCCACAGGGAGACACCCAACAAGGGAGGTCAGATGAAGGGCAGCCATGGTGGTGGTCACTCCGTGGCTTAGGATCCAAGACTCAACCCAGCTACACAGTCTTATGGCCTATAGGCTTAGCCTTAGGGACTGACATGGAAAGTTCCAGTGCCCAAATGAAAGGGAGGTGGACAAGGAGTTACCTGTGACAGCCTGTCACAAGGTAGCCTCTCTCATTCTGTTTCAAGAAGAACTTCAGGCTCAGGCTCAGTGAAAATTCAGGCCAGCCTGCAGGTACACCCTGCCTGTGTGGGAGTGATGTGCACAGCGGTCCAAGGGCCAGGGCAGAGCTGTCCTGTGCAGATGGGAGGTTTATATAATAGAAAAGATAAATGGGGAGCCAGAAAGTCAGTAGGGCAGGAAGATGTTTCTATTGCAGCCTCTCCAGACAACCGAAATGTCCTTTCCATGATCAGAAGGAGAAATAGGCCCTGAGGAGTGTGCCTTGTCACTTTGCAGTGAGAAAATACATTCTAAAGTTGTTCTTGTAAAAAGCCCTGAGCTTTCTAAGAAGGCTGCATGCAGCTTAGCTCTTCAAATTCTAGATCATAAGAGTCTGTTGCCTTAAAAAATTGCTAAAAACCAATAGCTGTGGGCACATGACAGTGTCACGGTGTGATCTAAATTCCCGGCTTGGAGGCAGAGGGGAGGGTTGAGGGCCTGCACGGGTGGTGGCTCTCAGGAGCTCCTCGGGTCAGGGTGGAGGGTGTCCTGTGCGGCAGCATTCCAGATGAAACAGGCAGTAGGCAATCAGCATCTCACTGCCATAGCACTCTAGTCTGCAGGTGCCACCTCTGTGGCATTTTCTGTGTAATTCTAGTGAAAACAGGTTATAACCTGGAGGGACAATGAATGGGAAGATAATTCACTACAGGTATTTTTGGACTATTGAATGATTAGTCCCTCAATTTTTCTCCAATTACATTCTGAGGAGACTTAGAATAATTGATTCTTTTTTTTTTTTTTTTTTTTGATTGTTTGGGATTCATGAGGGTACCAAGAATTAAGTTACACTGATTGTATTTATTAGACAAAGTCCCTTTTATAATTGTGTACTGCCTCTAAGAGGTGTGTCATACCATGACCCCCCTCCCCTTCCCTCCTCTCATCTCCTACTCCCTCATTCTCCTACCCCGCCTTGTATTAGCTCATCTATTACCTTCATATTAGAATTGAGTATATTGGATTCTTGCTTCTCCCGTGGAATAATTGATTAATTGAAAAAAAAAAGTGCTATGGCCTGAATTATGTCACCTCAAAATTTATATGTTGAGACCCTTTCGGAGGTAACTTAAGTTACACGAGGTCATAGGGATGGACCCTAGTCCAGTAAGATTAGTAGACTGATCCAACAGGACGGATGGCCTGATTGATGGAGGACACAGCAAAAAGATGGCCTCTGCAATCCAGGAAGAGAGGCTTCATCAGAGATTGAATCAAACAGCACCTGAATTTTGGACTCCCCACTTCCAGAACTATGAGAAAACAAATTTCATTTAAGCTACACAGTCTGTAGAGTTTTGTCAAGGCAGCCTGAGCTAAGACAACTAATAACTTAGAAGTTAGCCTGAATGGGTCAGATAACACAATCTAATCAACTTAGCTACTGTGTTTCCCTGAAAGTAATACCTACCCAAAAAATAAGCCCTAGCAGGATTTCTATGCATTTGTTAAATATAAGCCCTACCCCGATAATAAGACCTAGTGATGGGCATGGCTATGCAGATACAATGCATAGCCAGGCCCTGCATTTCAGGGAGTAGCAGTAAGGAAGACTGGAATACCTTTTATCTGCCACAGCTCCTTTCTCCCAGCCATTTGCACCTGCACAAGTGTGTGTGTGGTAACCACTGTTGAAGGCATCTTATTGAAGGCATCTCCTAACGGCTAGGGGAAAGGAGTTCACGCATCACTAGCCGACTTTCAGAGCCAGCCCCACCAACAAGGTCAGCTCTCCCTATCAGGTTCCAGAAGAACATGACTTAACTGTATTTGAATAAATGTAGATTGTTGTATTATACTTAATGAAAAAGACATCCCCTGAAAATAAGCCCTAGTGTGTCTTCTTGATAAAAAATAGATATAAGACAGTGTCTTATTTTCAGGGAAACACGGTACACACATGGTCATTCATTCATTATTAATTATTCAAATATTTAGTTGTTTACTCATTGTTGTGTATTGATTCTAAAGCAGTTTTTATAACTCCTGTGAATCAGGGACTGTGGAGGTATGGCTCTAAGTGTGATATAAACATTAACTGGAGTGAATTTTCAGTGAAGACAAAAAGAAAAAAACAAAATATCTCTGAAAAAAGAAAGAAAAAAAACATGACAAGTGCAGTGAAGTCTTTATAGCAAGGAACAATCTTGTGTGTTTGGAGGAGAATGAAATCAATTCTGAATATTTGGGAAGCCTTATTGGAGTTCAAGGCCTTTGAGCTATGATTACTATTATGTAGACATACTACTCCTTAGAATGATCAAATATGGATGTTTCTCTACTGTTGCATGCAAGAATGTAAGGGAGCCAATGCTTGGCCATCTGTAGAAATTTTGAACCAACACACACCCTGTCCAAGTCATCATGCCCTGGAGGGTAACTGTCCTACAGGGATAATAGACGGGATCAAGGTTATTTAGGTGACAGGATGGGAGCCCAAGGGGATAATCTGTAATTCCTTTGGGAAGATAAAATACAACGGTGTATGCAAGAAAACAGGAAATTCCTGCGGAAATGACAAGCTGTGGGACTGTCAGGCGTCCTCAAACTACGACCCGCAGGCCACATGCAGCCCGCCTAGGACATTTATCTGGCCCGCCGGGTGTTTTTGCTGCTGCTGCCTGTCCTGCTTAGCAGCTGACTCATCCCGGGGCCCTAAGTCTGGCCCTCCAACGGTCTGAGGGACAGTGAACTAGCCCCCTTTTTAAAAAGTTTGAGGACCCCTGGTCTAAAGCACCAAAGGGAATACTGTAGACTAGACGGAGTTGTGACTCATGCAGCCATGAGGCTTATGCTCACGTAGCATAAGGATTAGGACTGTTTCAGTAATGTTAGGTAGAAAGAATATTTGAGATGAGATTCTGAAAGTCAGAAAGGAATACAGTCAAGCTAGAGGCCAAGGCCAGCTGTCCTCCCTGATTCCCTGACTGCTACCCCAGAAGAGTGGACGTTTCTTCTATTGCGGAAAGCTCAATCATCATTCTCTTGAGACAAGAAGTTCCAAATCTGTTTCTCATTTAAAGACAGGGACCAATAAGTAATAAATTCACTATCAGCAGTTTGAGTGTATGAAAAATACTGGCAAATTATCTTACCCGTATTTGCTGGGTATTGACTGTTATGCCCAAATATGTTCTTGAACGAGAGAAAAAACCACAGTGGCAAAATGGGACAGGCACGGCTACTGAAGATTAGAGAGCTGTCACGCGCCTGTGCATTCACATCATGCATAGGCATGCCTTGTGTAATATCCCACCTAACCCTAGCAAGACTCTTCGTTTCCCTTTTGTAAATGAAGAGACAAAAGCCCAGAGAGGCTCAGACCTTTGCCGGGTGTTGTGCAGCAAACAGTCTGCATAACCCAGATGCAAGCTGGGATCTTGCTGACATCAAAGCTGGTTGTTGCTTTTTCTGCTTTGAAAATTAAAGGGCCTATCACAGGCGTACATTCATAGGGTTGTTTGGTAAATTGTTTTCTAGACCAAGCACCCCCCCCCCCAGCCCCTAGAAGATTATCATTTACCTGCCATCACTAGATCCCAAAGGGAGAGGAAGGCAAGCAGGATGAGGAGAGGTTTCATGGCTGAGAGCGTCTGTCCAGGAGGCTGCTGGCAGGGGCTGACACAGAGGACAGAGAGAGGAGGGTGTTGGGCACACCCTCCTGTGCAAACCGCTCAGGCCTGGGGAATGGCCTGCCCTGGGTAGACACAGCACACTGCACACCCCCGCGGCAGCTGTGAAACCGGCAGCCCTTTCCTGTCTGCCAGCCTCTCCCAGCCACTGGGGCCCTGGTTCTCAAGGAGCACAGGTCGCGTGCTTTCTTTCAGCAGCTGGGTCTGAGACAGCCTCCCAGCATTGGTCCCTTTAGTAGAACCACCCAGTGAACCAAAGGAGCCTCACACTATTTAAAAATTTTGTGAAGAGTCAGAATGGCAGGCACCGCAGCACCTGTACCCAGTCTGGGGACTGAAGACCAGGGGCCGAGGAGGATGTTTCCATCATGTGAACACAATCAGCGCTCTCTCAGATGCCACATCACTGCTTCTGGGGAGCCTCAAAGCCACTTGGAGAAAATGTGATTACCTCTGAATTGACTAAGTTTAAGTTTCTGTGGCCAGGAGGAATAAGGTTCATAAGAGGAATTGTTCCATTTATAGAAAAATAAAGTTATACTTTTGTGAATGTGCCCTCCTGTGATACAGCTCTTGGTCCACTCTCCTCCTGCTCCCAACCTCTCTCCACTTCTGGCCTCTCTAGTTACTGAGATAAGCTAAAGCCACCTCCTGTCCGTGTTGGACCTGTCCGTGTTCCTTCCTGGCCTCACAGTGTACTGAGTGGCCAGTAGGTGCCGCTAACCCTGCTTTTGAAGCTCAGCCTGCCTCTCCTTCCTTCTCAGATCTCACCCCCAGGGTGCCAGGCTTGGACCACTAGAGTAGCATAATGTTTCATGAAAAGATTGTGTTTATATAAAATACTGTGTCTCCTAGACAAAAAAGGATACCTTCTTTTCTTTTCTTTTTTATTTGAGACAGAGTCTCACTACATTGCCCTCGGTAGAGTGCCATGGCGTCACAGCTCACAGCAAGCTCAAACTCTTGGACTTAAGAGGTTCTCTTGCCTCAGCCTCCCAAGTAGCTGGGACTACAGGCACCCACCACAACACCCGGCTATTTTTTTGTTGTAGTTGTCACTGTTGTTTTTAGCAGGCCGGGCCGGGTTCGAACCTGTCAGACCTGGTGTAGGTGGCTGGTGCAGGTCCTGAGCCTGCTGATACAGGTCCTGAGCCACCACATAAAATTTTAACAAACATATGAACTGCATCTTAGATCCCAAAGAATGATTTAATAAATTTCAAAAAGCAATAGGCTGCATCAAGTTCTCTAGTTCCACAAAATCATGGCTACATTTACATAGTACTTACAATAGGATGAGGTACTGTTTATAAACATTATCTATTTATTTATATGTATTTATTTATTTTTGGAGATAGAGTCTCATTTTGGTAGAGTGCTGTGGTGTCACAGCTCACAGCAACCTCATACTCTTGGGCTCAAGTGATTCTCTCGTCTCAGCCTCCCAAGTAGCTGGGACTACAGGCACCTGCCATAACACTCAGCTATTTTTTTAGAGACGAGATGTCGCTCTGGCTCGGACTGGTCTCGAACCTGTGAGTTCAGGCAATCCACCTGCCTCGGCCTCCCAGAGAGTGAGGAATACAGGTGTGAGCCACCATATCCAGCCTTAAAATCTTTATATATCCTAACTCATCTAATCCTCACAATTCCACCATTGAGATATTATTGTCACCTCATTTTCTAGATGAGGCAACTGAGAGAGAAAGTAAATAACTTGCTCAAGGTCAAAGAGTTCCTAAGCAGTGGGGCTGGGCTGTAGTCCTCCAGGTGAAAATGATGATTTGGTTGTGGACGTAAATGAAGGAAGTAAATGTGAAAAGGCACACGTGAAAACGGTATAAGCATTTGCGACATTTATATTTATTTTAACCCGACCATCCGAACACAAAAATATCATGAATTTCCTTCCGTCCATCATATTAATTGTTCTTAGATAGACAAGACGGTTTGAGACATTTTCAGTTTTTCTTTTCCTGAAGTCTGAAGAAGACAGAGTTAGACTTTCGACCACTTCTTTTTTCTCTTAATCTTGAGGCTCTTCACCCTGCAGCAGATGCTCCAGTCAGTGCAGTATCTAACTGCATATTCATCACCACTGCACTTCATCCTGCAGCTGTGCTGCCCAGTGGGACATCCGATGTTAGAAAATAAGCTGGCTTCGAAAGGAGAGACAAATTATATCATACGTGTTACTTATTTTCTTATTTTTTAATGTCTTTTTTTTTTTTTGGAGACAGAGTCTCAAGCTGTCATCCTGGGTAGAGTGCTGTGTCATCACAGCTCACAGCAACCTCCAATTCTTGGGCTTAAGAGATTCTCTTGCCTCAGCCTCCCAAGTAGCTGGGACCACAGGCGCCCACCACAACGCCCAGCTATTTTTTGGGTGTAGTTGTCATTGTTGTTTGACAGGCCTGGGCAGGATTTGAACCCACCAGCTCTGGTGTATATGGCTGGCGCCCTAGCTGCTGAGCTACAGGTGCTGAGCTATTTTTTTAATGTCTTAAAGGCTTTATAATAAATTATAAATAACAACAATAAAGAACTTCTCCTATCAAAAACAACAAAAACAAAGAAAGCAAAGCTATTAAATAAAGGAAGAAGATTTCTTCTATAAAGAGAGCACATGGGCTCAGCACAGTGGTTACGGCACCAGCCACATACACCAAGGGTGGCAGGTTCAAACCCGGCCTGGGCCAGCTAAACAAGGATGGCAACTGCAACAAAAGATAGCTGGGCGTTGTGGTGGTGGCTTTTGTCCCAGCTACTTGGGAGGCTGAGGCAAGAGAATCGCTTGAGCCCAAGAGTTGAAGGTTGCTATGAGCTGTGACGCTACGGCACTCTACTGAGGGTGGCATAGTGAGACTCTGTCTCAAAAAAATAAAAATAAAAATAAAGAGCACACATGAATGAGGCAGAAGCTGGGAAGGAACAGAGTTTTTTTTGTTTGTTTGTTTGTTTTTTGAAACTCCTTTTGGCTGCCCCAAAGTCTAATGTCTTTATTTATTTATTTATTTTTGCAGTTTTTGGCCAGGCCAGGTTTGAACCCGCCACTTCCAGTATATGGGGCCCGTGCCCTACTCCTTTGAGCCACTGGCGCTGCCCCCAGGAACAGAGTTTTTAAAGCAACTATTATTGTATATTTCTGCCTAAAATGAATGATCCAGTTGGGGTGTGGCTTTATGAGGTTTACCGTGTTTCCCCCAAAATAAGCCCTAGCATGATTTCTATGCATTTGTTAAATATAAGCTCTACCCCGATAATAAGACCTAGTGATGGGCATGGCTATCCATCGTATCTGCATAGCCACACTCTGCATTTCAGGGCAGAGCAGTAAGGAAGACTGGAATACCTTTTATCTGCCACAGCTCCTTTGTCTGAGCCATTTCCACTTACGGGAGTGCAGTGCGGTAACTGCAGTCACAGGCATCCTATTGCACATGTGTGAATGGCTAGGGGAAAGGAGTTCACACATCACTAGCGCCAGCCCCACCAACAAGGTCTGCTCTTCCTTGTCAGGTTCCAGAAAAAGATGACTTAACTATATTTTAATAAATGTAGATTGTTGTGTTATACTTAATAAAAATAAGACATCCTCTGAAAATAAGCCCTAGTGTGTCTTCTTGAGAAAAAATAAATATAAGACAGTGTCTTATTTTCGGGGAAACACAGTATCCTGTTTCAAACACTTAGAACTTTAATTCTATATCTCTTAAAAAGGTATGCACACATGTAACAAGAATCATTTAAAAATATTTAAAGCAGTAATAGTATTCATAGCAGGCAAAACTTGAAAACAACTTAAATGTTTACCAACAGTAAACAGTAAAAGAGATAAATAGGTAGTGGCATATTACTGTGATATGACACCACATAGGATTAAAACTAATGAACTGTAGCTGCATACAGCTACATAGATAAATTTCATAAATGTAATCTGAAGTCAAATAAGCCAGATATGAAAAGTACATTCTATGTAGTTCCATTGATACAAAGGTTAAAGCAATATGGCAAAACTGAACAATTGGCTCGGTGCCTGTGGCTCAAGTGGCTAAGGCGCCAGCCATATACACCTAAGGTGGTGGGTTCCAATCCAGCCCAGGCTGCCAAACAACAATGATGGCTGCAACCAAAAAATGGCCAGGCGTTGTGGTGGGCGCCTGTGGTCCCAGCTACTTGGGAGGCTGAGTCAGGAGACTCACTTGAGCCCAGGAGTTGGAGGTTGCTGTGAGCTGTAATTCCACGGCACTCTGCCCAGGGGGATAGCTTGAGGCTCTGTCTCAAAAAAAAACCAACAACAAAAAAAAACTGAACAATCATGTCTGTATAGACATATATACATAAACAAATACATTTATATACACACAATAACCATATTCACGCTCGCAGTCTGAGTTCTAACTCGGTTGCCTAACCCTTCTAATACCTTATTCATGAATCTACATTAGTCCGAGCCATTAATAGCCGTCTTTGTTTCTTTGCCAGTGATTAAATTGGTGGTAGCTATGTAACCCTTTTCTAGAAAACTTTGGAAAAAGTATTCCTTGTTGAGTCTTTTCGTTCTGGTCTATCTGGTGGGCTTGGATGTGATGTCTAGAACAATGACAGCTATCTTGGGGCTGTGAAAGGAGCTAGATAAAGATATATCTGACATTTGAGGGTACAAAGATCCAGGTTCTGCTAATTGCATTTGTCAGGCAAAGTCCCTCTTATAAATGTGTTCCTCCCCTGAGAGGTGTGCCAAACACCGTGACCCCCACCCCTCCCTTCTACCCTCTCTCCACTCCGCCATTCCCCCACCCCCCACCACGGACTAGGTCACCAATTGTCCTCATGTCAGATTTGAGTACATTGGATTCTTGTCTCTCCATTCTTGTGATGCTTTAATAAGAAGAATGTGTTCCAGCTCCATCCAAGTTGGTACAAAAGACAACTAAAAAAAGAGATAAATCTGACACTTAAAGTTGGTGATTTGCTAAATGAACCCGTTTTAGAACAGCCTGATCTTGGGAGCTGTTGTTATGTGTAATAATATATATATATATATTTTATTATTTAAGTGTATTGAGTCTGGGTTGTTTGTAACTTGAATCTGAAAAGCGACTCAAGAGTACAGCAAGCAACGTGTAATAAAACATTAGAAAAACCCCACAGAGTCAAAGAAAGTATTGGCAAACTATATCTAAAAAGAGTTTATTATCCAGAATATAGAAAGAGCTCACAACTCAACACTAGACAGACAAATAATGCAATAAAAAAAACAAGCAAAGGATTTGAAAAGGCAGTTTTCCAAAGAAGATATGTAAAAGGCCAATAAGCAGGTGAGAAAATGCTCAGCTTCATTACCGATTAGGGAACTTCAAGGAGAATCTATACTGGTGTATTATTTCATACCAGCTAAGTTAATTATAATAAAAAAAGGTAAGTAATAGCAAGTACTGGTGAGCAGGCAGAGGACTGGAGCCTTTGTTCCTTGCTGGTAGGAATTTAACATGAAGCATGCAGCTGTGGGAAAGTTTTTCAATTGCTAAAAATTTAAACATAGACTTACCACATAGCACAGCAATTCTATTCCCAGGTATATACCCAGGAGAAGTGAAAACAGGTCCACACGAAAACACGGACGTGAATATTCATAGCGACATTATTAACAGCCCCAAAGTGGACCAAGGCAAAATCTAGTTTATCTGTATAATGAATTATTTTAGCAATAGAAAGGAATAAGGTACTAATATGTGCCACAACATGGATTAATCTTGTGAACAAAAAGGTTATGTGTTTGTAATTCTATCTATATTAAATGCCCACGATAGGCGTTCAGACACAGACAAAAATCAGTTACGTGGTTGTCAAGGTCTGGGAAGAGAAGAGAAGGGATATGGGGTTTCTTTTGGGGGGTTATGCAACTATTCTCATTAGTGGTGATGGTTGTACAGTTTTATGAATATATTGAAAATCACTGAATGGATCACTTCAAAAGAAGGAATTTAAGGGTCAATTATATCTCGCTAAAAATATAAAGCAATAATAGCATGAGGGAAATATTGAATGGCGAAGAATTAAAATGTGCTTGAAGGTAGTACATGCATCAGAAAAGATAAATAAGTCAACAGGCAGTAATATAAATCTCAAGGATAAACCAAAGATTAATATGCATTTATTATATAGTATTGGCGGATTTAAGAAAGTAAGTTGGGAAAATTTGATTATTTAATAAGTATACATGTATAATTGGCTAATTATTTGGTTAAAAATTTAGGTGAAGATTTAAAAATAATTTCCACATAGATTAAATAAAACCCTAAAAGTTTCATGCAACTTTAAAGAAAGGCATTGTCTGGTCTTTGTCTAGGTCAGTGGTCAGTGTGTTCTGTGACCCAAGGACCCTGATGGAGCGCTCCCCTCTTCACTCCCAGCCCTTTCAGTCGTCACTTACATTCCATTTTTCTAATTCCCCACATTTCCCTTGTTTTGTGTGCATCCTCCCCCCTTCTCTTGAAAGGGAACCACCTGTTGATGTCCTCAGTATCTGCTTTCCAATCTTCTGAGTAGCCTTCAGGGTACAGTGAATTGGGCCTTTGTCCAATTCTCCAACGCTTGGAAGACCTTGTAGTCTCCTTTACTTTTATTTTTATAACTCTGGAATAAAAGTTTCTGTCTTACCTTGAGGAGTTAGGGACAACAAGGCGAGGACGCCAAAGACACAAAGCAAGATCCTCATGGTTGGATGAGTTAGTTAGGGAGAATCAGTAGCTCGGATGCCGAGATCTTCAGCCCTCAAGAGGTGACTTGCGGCATGATTATTGAGCCTTTCAGTAGCAAGAACATTCCTGTGTTTCAGTGAGATTTTATATCAGGAGACAGAATGCAAAGGACGTGACTATCAGTCATTCAAAATACATTTATCAAATGCTGATGGGGCATGAACAAAAAGTAGAATGCATAGAACTTAAAGAGAGGGATTTGCTATGGTGAAGCAGAACAGATATTCTGTTGAAAAATCACATTATCTTATAGCTCTTGGAGAAACTGTAAAAGTTAAGGTAACCATAATATGAGAAAAATATTCATTTACTTCCCTGATAATAGGAAGAAAAGCACTTAATAAATAGCATATCTGTTTATTTTTTTATTTTTATTTTTTTTAGAGACAGAGTCTCACTTTGTTGCCCTCAGTAGAGTGCTGTGACATCATAGCTCACAGCAAACTCCAGTTCTTTGGCTTAGGCGATTCTCTTGCCTCAGCCTCAGCATATCTGTTCATTAATATTTTGGGGAATGTATGTTAGCATACCTAAGCAATGTGATTAGATTTGAAACCACACACAGGCTAGTGAGATACGTAAAAGCTTTAATTTGATTATCTCTCTGGGTAATCAACTTAATGAGATCAACTACTTTTTATTTATTTTATTGATTTTTTTTTCACTTTTAATGTTTTTTTTTTCTTATTTGTTTAGTAGGTCCTGGCCAGTTTGGGTTTGAACCTGCCACTCCCAGTGCACAGACCAGTGCTCTAACCAGTGAGCAACAGGTGCCCAGCCTACTTTTAATGTTTTTGAGATAGGGTCTCACTCTGTCACCCTAAGCCAGTGTTTTGCAACCTTTTTTATTTCATGGCAGTGAGGGGATGAAAGCTCCGAGGATGACCTTCCCTAAACCTGCTGGGGCAGTGGCCCCTGGGCACAAGCCTCTCCCGGCACCCTAGAAACTCAAAGGGGGATGGTAGGGTCCCTGGGCTGTGTGCTGGGTTTCGATGACTGGCTCCATTTACAGAAGCCAGAATGACCTAACATCTTTAGCATCTCTGATCACAAATTGACTGATTGTTTTCCTCACGTATCTGGGACTTCTTGGCTTCTTGATCACGAAGAAAAGCTTTCAAAGTACAGTTTACATCACAAAACAGTACAATCTATGAGAACAAATAATTGAGGTCCTTTACGGAACACCGAGGGCATAATTTTCAGCGACTCTTTGATATTTTCTACGAACATTTGTTTTCCAGCCTGATGGATTTGGAGCCAGGAGGTAATCTTGGAAGGCTACCCAGGAAACCCAAGAACAGTGTGTGACCCATGCATGGGCTGGCAGTCAGGGACATCAAAGGAAGAGTCCCACGAAGGTTCACGGCAGGCTGGGGGTGGGCTGGTGGGGACCAGATGAGAGTTGAAAGGGAGCTTCTTGGCGCATTGCACAGGACCTCAGCAAAGAAAGATGAGCTGCCTTGACAAAAGCTTATCCTTGCAAGGACACACAGAAGAAAATTAGGTAGCTATTGAGTACAAGTTGTTACAGCAGAAGCAGAAAGGAGGTAATTTGTCATTAGATCATAAATCTGACCTAGAAATTATTGGGTTTTATTGAACATAGCTCTCCAGAAAGGCACTAGATATTCAATAAATAATTTATAATCAGGCATTCGTATTTTACCTTCTTTTTCTGTACTAAGCAGGATTGAAGGCCCTGGAGTCCTTGCTGCATTCATTATCTCTTTTTCTTCCTATTCCTGAAACCTTTCTGAATTCGTCATTTCCTTACCTTTAAGCTATGAATATCTTTAAGTCCCGTTACTTTATGAACAAAACACAAAATTACCCTCCTAGTATTTATTTTTCTTTTGACCTCATACCCTAACATTTCCCTTTTCCTCTCAGGAAAATAATAATCTGCACACCCTATTTCTATTTCTCTGTCTTTTTTTTTGGCCGGGGCTGGGTTTGACCCCCGCCACCTCCAGCATATGGGGCCAGGGCCCTACTCCTCCAAGCCACAGGCCACTTCTCTGTCCTTTATTCACTTCTCACCCAACAGGTGCTGACATCTTCCCTCATCTTTCTATTGGTTATAGAATAGAAATCACTAACAATTTTTTCTCTATAAGAATAAATATATATTTTTTGTTAAATCACTAACAACTTTTTCTCTGTATAAGAATAAGCATGTATGCCTATATTCCACATTTTTTATTCCTAAATAATTTATTTTTAATTAATCTAATAAATATAATAAATAATATATTTTTATTCCAAAATTGGGAAACCTCTAAGATTATTAAGGATAATACATACAATGCATTATCCTATCACTTAAGAGATAATTACTACTTTATGTATTTCCCATTAAAATTCTCTCTTGTTCTTGTGATTGACCTCATGGATTTACTTATATATGTGTAGTCATTCTTTTATTTGGGGGGCATTTTATGTGCTTACCCTCTCATTATGTAAGTAGTTTGAGATTGTCCCAAGGGATTTCTCTCCTACTCTAAAAACAACTTCTGGCTGAGTCTCCTAACGCAGGTGGCTGCCAGAGCTGAAGGTTTGCTTAACATGTGTGGAGTCAGGCAGTGCCTGTAGCTCAAAGGAGTAGGGCGCTGGCCCCATATACCAGAGGTGGTGGGTTCAAACCCGGCCCCAGCCAAAAACTGCAAAAAAAAGAAAAAAGATTTATATATATATATATATATATATATATATATGTATATATGTGGAGTGAGTGAAAACTTTGGTCCTATATATCCTCAGTTGAAAAAGGAACCCTCGTATAGACTATTTTCCAAAAGAGGTAAACCAAAAAATGAATAGCAACTTCATTGAATTAGCAAAAATAAAAGAAAGAAGATAAGAAAGAAGGTAAAAGTTAATAATAAGCATAGAGTAAGATGAAATGAGTAAAATGACCATATCAGTTGTTAGGCAGTTTCCTCTCTCTCCTGCATCAGGGTGGATTAAATCCATAGATTCTGCAAGGCTACGGGAAGCATTTTGGCACAAGATAGCTGGCTTGCTCTCTCTGTGCAATTAAAATAACAGCTTCTACTCTGACATTTCCCCTAAGTCTCAGAAAAAACATTCGATTGTTTGCTTGACATCTTCTTTGGGATGGTTAATGAGCAACTCCAATTTGATATGCCCAAAATAGAACTTTTGATCACACCACGTCCCCTGTAAAGACTTACACTACTCTTATTCTTGCCCTCTTAGTGAAGGGATCTTCTATGTTACTTAGATGCTTAGGTTAAAAAAAAAAAAACACCTAGGTGACATCTTTGATTCACTCTTTCTCTCTTCATAACTATAATCCTTCGGCAAGTTCAGATTTGCTTTTAAATGAGCCTTAAAACCAGCCTTTGCTCACCACCTCTATCCCCGCACCTTTGTCCGGGTTGCTGGTCTTCCTGGAAACAGTCCTCTGATTTGACTCTTGGGTTCTACTACAGCTTTGTAAACTCCACTCCATGTCCAGCAGCCAGAGATATGTTTGTATATAAAACCAGCACATTGTACCCCATGACTGCATTAATGTACACAGTGATGATTTAATAAAAAAAGTATATTAATAAAATAAAGAATATTAAAACCTAAAAATATAAAGGCCTGTTTCATTACAATTGAACATTGGTTCAAAACATACCCCTCACTGTTCACAAACTCCTTAAACTCCTTCACAAACTTTTCTGCTGCTTCGGAATTAGAACTGGCAGCCTCTCCCAGCATAACAACACTGTAGATCCCAGTCCTTTTCTTAAAGTTCTCAAACCACCCCCTGCTGGCTCTAGACGCCTTCTTTTGAGCACTAGTATCAGGCTTGCCTATTATTAAATCATCATAGACGACCTTGGCTTTCTCACAATTATCGTCTCAGAAATCACTTCACCAGCCAGCTGTTTTTCATTAATTCAAACTAGGAGGCGTTTTCCCATCTCTTCCATACTTTTCCAACTCCTAGAAGTCAGCGTTGTAATCCCTTTCACCACATGACCTGCTTTGATAGCTTCTTTATTTTTCAAAATCGAACAGTGGATTTAGGAATCCCGAACATAGTAGCGAGATCAGCCATGTGTGTAGGGCTTTCACCCTTAGCCATGAGACCCTTCTTAACTTCAACTGTAGCCCTAATGCTTTCCCTCACTCTTCTCACTATACTTCTTAGGACCCATGGCAAATCCACTTAGTTGTTATTCTGTTTTTAAAAAACACACAAAACAAGTACACAAGCATAAAATTAGCAGTGAAAATCACACAGCTGCTTTTACGACAGCTTCTGACAATGAACCGGACGGCAAAGCGCTGGGGAAAGTTAAGCACGAAAACACACTATCAACAGGCCGGGCATTCAGATTCCAAAGCAGTGTCGGATTTTTTGCTCGAATTTTTCAATCAGATTCCAAGTTGCTCAAGTTCTGGGGTGTTCGGATTCTGGGGGCAATACTGTATTTCTTTTTAATTTATTACCGTCTATTCTTAGGTACCATAGTCCTTTACATGTAGTACAGAAACCTTAACAGAAGTACATGAGATGTGACCTTGGGCAGTTATCTCTGTGATTTTTCTGCTTCAAGTTCATTAGCTCTGTGCATTTTTTTTAAATTTTAAAATTATATTTGGATTTTTTTAAGACACTATTTCTCCAAATACATTTTCTTCCCCCTTTCCCTACCCCTTCTTATTCAGGACTTCAAAAACACACACATTAAACTGTTTGAAGTGATTCCATGGTTCTTTGAGGCTTTCTTGTCCTTTGATTTTCTTAGCCTCAGAAAGTCAACGCATCTACTGGTTAATCTGAAAACAATTAATTGGGCAAGCTGAGTTAGCTCCTCCACTCTCTGGCTCCTGGGTGACCCCACTTGGAGAAAGCAGATCTTCTTTTCAAGGAGCCGGGTGCTGTGGAAGGGAGACCCGCTTCAGTTTGGTGTTGGAATGACGAGGGTGAGGGGTTGCCTGGTTCTCAGGTGCGGCGTTTACAAGGCTACATAGTTAGCAGGCTGTAATCCATATTCCCCAAGTAAGTTTCTATTAGCAAGAAAATGGCCTTTTTTTCCATAACCAGATGAAGAAGAGGGTTGATATTCCAAAGAATCATAGAATCACATACCACTTACTGCTATTTCATACTCTTTTTTTTTTTTATTAAAAGAGCCATCACAATTATATTCTTTTCTTAATAGTTTTGAAATGTTCCATTGCATCATACACATTTTTACTGCAGCCCAATTCATAATAGCCAAGACCTGGAAACAGCCAAAGTGCCCATTGAATAGATTAACAAATTGAGGTGTAGATACACCATGGAATACTACGCAGCCATAAAAAGATGGAGACTTCACATTTTTTACCTTTACCTGGATGGAGCTAGAACATATTCTTCTTAGTGAAGTATCTCAAGAATGGAAAAAAGTATTTCATAGTTTTATTTAAACTTTTTAACTTTAGCTTTTTTTCTTAGGAAATCATGCTTTGTATAAACATGTCTAGGGTGTGAAATTCCTCTATGATTCTTGTAGCTTAAGAGGCTTTCATGGGCAACAAGAAGAAACGCCCCCAGGGTCAGCTCATGTGGGATGAGAGCAGCATTTATTTCCAGTCAAGGGAGGAAAATAAATTGGGTTAAACAGGAATCTGCAAAATGTATCCATCCATTCTGGAGGTTGAAGTGCTCATGGTTTGCTCCCATTTAAGGAGATTTTCCTTTGGGAATCGGGGTTGGGTAAGGATAGAGTATCCACCACCTTCTACAGCATTTTTTTCTCGCACCACATACACCGATTGTATCATCTATGGAGGTACAGCTGTCATCTCTGCATATTCCTTTTAATACAACACACTGTTTTTGCCCTGGAAGGACGCCGGTCTTTCCTGTATAGGGAGAGATTTGACAACATCATTAATTCACCATCAACTTATTTGAAATATATATAAAGCGATAAGCCTGTGAGATAGGACGGATGATATTACCCGTAGGAAAGGATCAGACACTTAGAAAAAAGTAGTGCCTTTTTATTCATTTATTTATTTATTTATTTTGGAGATAGAGTCTTACGTGGTGGCCTTGGGTAGAGTGCTGTGGCATCACAGCTCACAGCAACCTCGAACTCTTGGGCTTAAGTGATCCTCTTTCAGCCTCCCAAGTAGCTGGGACTATAGGCGCCACCACAACGCCTGCCTATTTTTAGAGACAGGGTCTCATTTTTGCTCAGGCTGGTTTCCAAACGTGAGTTCAGGTAATCTGCCTCCCAGAGTGCTAGGATTGCAGGTGTGAGTCACTGTGCTCGGCCCCAGAAATGCCTTTTTTAGAAAGGGGGGGAGCTAAGAGTGTGGACTATATACCCCTTGGAGGGGACGACAGGCTGATTTCTATTGATAAAAGTGTAGAACAGTGATTTTCAACCTGTGTGCTGTAAAAATTTTTAAAGATCATTTTGTTTTTACTGTTCTTTATTGTTCTTTTAGTTTCTTTTCCTTTCTTTCTTTCTTTCTTTTTTTTTTTTTTCTGAGAGTCTATGTCACCCTGGATAGAGTGCTCTGGCATCATAGCTCACAGCAACCTCAAACTCTTGGGCTTACGCAATTCTCTTGCCTCAGCCTCCCAAGTAGCTGGGACTACAGGTGCCCACCACAACACCCAGTTATTTTTTGTTGCAGTTGTTATTGTTGTTTTTAGTAGACCTGCCGGGTTCAAACCCGCCAGCCTTGGTGCATGTAGCTGACACCGTAACCACTGTGCTACGTATGTCCAACCTGTCTTTTTTTTCCCTTCCCTTCTTTCTTTTTGGAGACAGACTCTCACTTTGTCAACCTCAGTAGAGTGCTGTGTCATCATAGCTCGCAGCAACCTCAAACTCTTGGGCTCAAGTGATTCTCTTGAGTCAGCTTCCCAAGCAGCTGGAACTATAGGCGCCTGCCACAGCGCCTGGCTATTTTTAAGAGACAGGGTATCGCTATTGCTCAGGCTGGTCTCCAACTTGTGAGCTCAGGTGATCCACCCCCCTTAATCTCCCAGAGTGCTGGAATTATAGGCATGAGCCACCATACCTGGCCTCACTTTGTGTTTTCTATCCGTAATATACTAACCCTGAGTGGCTTTTTTTGCTGCCTAACTTCTGTAGTGTGAGTAAAGCTTGATACTTTTTTTTTTAAGCTCTCAATCTTTTTGTTATCATCATTTTGAATGAGTAAACTAGGCTTTCATTATTGTGTCACCACTCTGTAGAAAAATATATATAGCCAGATAAACCTAGGCAGCCTTCTGGGACTGAATGCTCACACCCTGTTCCGGACCATGTTCTGCCCTTGTTAGAAGGTCACACTGGTGCAGTCCCGTACTACACCGTCCGGCTCAAGGTCCTGGTGCAGCAAAAGGATGATATGAAGGAGGAGTTGGAGAATATCTTCTAAAACTACCTCTGTTTTGCTAAGACTGTCCTGGAAGAGAAGAGAAAGTGACTACCCTTCAGGGAGAGAACTGAAGTCTCACCAGCCATTGTAGAAGGCACTGGCCTGGCTGCATTGTCCACATGGAGCACAGGCTTCATGCTCCTCGCAGAGCAGTCCTGTTGCCAGCTGTTGGCCTTTGCTCTGATAACCTCCTCCGTACGTTGAGTGTAATGTCTGGTAAGACTTTCAGGTTCTTTTAATGAGGCTAAACTCAAAGGTGGTCAACATTAGGGGTGTGGGCAAAGTAAGCGCCAGAATATGGCATCCAGGAGGCCTTAGTATATGAAATTGGAGACATCCCCGCAGAGAGAGGTAGAGTGTATGAGTCTGCACCTGAAGCCAGGAGAGCTAACCTCTCCCCTACAGGGTAGAGAGTCAAACCCACTACCCTGCGAAGTTCAGCCTCCTGATACACGGTACTAGTCTAGGATAGCACTTTTTTCTCTACTTGGAAAATTCTGTTGCTTCAATCAAAACCAGTGGAACAATTCTTCCTACCAGGGCTGGGCTCCCTGCTAAATGTGAAGCTTACTTAAAGAGATATTCTCTGAGCAGGAAGCCAAAGGTTGGAATCTCCCTTTCACCAATGACTGTGGCATTGCATCATGTCCCAGGCACTAGTTCAAGTCAAGAAGGTAATATTAAAGTCACCTGGCTCATGAAGAATGGTATTTCTTTCTAGATATTGACATTTATTTTTAGACTTATTGGTATAAGGATACAATAAAAAAGAAGGGCTCTCTAATACACTTCAGAATTTACATGGTGTTAAGATGTTATAATGGTTACATCACATGGCAGTTGGAGAAAGAATACATATTTAATAATTACTGCCGGAAAAAAAAAAAGGCACAATTTACGTGCTCAGTTCCTAGTCTATGATGGCATAAATTTCTGGGGAGGAAGTGAGAAGAACTTAGAATCCCACTGAAATAAGAGATCTGATAGTGGCACATTCATCTAATCTTTAAAACGATAGGACTTACTTGTATTAGAACTCACTGACTTCTTATTATCTATGAAATGTTTGTGATGACGATGGTAGCTAGGTGTTGGATGGGATAGGCTCTTCCCGGAACTTTATCAATCAAAAAATAAAATGGCAGTTTTCCCCCAATACTTAAGGTAGAGTTCAAGCTGTTTTTTGCACCTCTCCTAAATATTATGCTATAATGTCCAAAGTCTGCTCTACTTCTTAGGGAGCTAATGAATCAATTGAAGCTTTATGGTATTTTAACCCACATTTATACCCTTATTCTCAGTATATGTGTACACACATACACACACACATATACACACACGTGAATGTTTCCAATCTTTCCGAGGATACCAGGGATTGTTTTCTGGAGAAATGTAAGAATATAGGATGATATATAGTCAAGTATCGATTATTTAACATCTTAGACACTAGGTTAATACACAAAAGTTTTGATTATATAGTTTCTTTGAGGAAATTTTCTTCATGAAAACAGTGATTATTTTTCACCTGATATTAGATATTTTGGGTAAATATTCTTTTTTTTTCTTTTTTTTTTTTT